AATGGGAAGAATAACTTTCCATTGTTTGTTTCCAAAAATATTATGCTGAAGATTGGGATTAAATAGTCTCATGATTTTTTTTCTTCATTTTTCTATGGATCTAGTTATTACTCACATTTCTCCTTGAGTATAATCCACCTCTTAAAGAAGTGGGAATTGTTACTATTCATTTGAAATAGGGAGAACATGTGTATTTAACAAGCTTAGCAATGAAGTGACAGCATCTCATCTCTCTCTCTCTCTCTCTCTCTCTGTAAGTGGTAATAACAAAATTCTATTGTTTTCTGGACCCACTGATTGATAGTACAGATTCATGTTTGAGACTGTGAATATGATTAGGCCTCATTTTTAAAGTGCGGTATCTAAGATCCTTTTTTTTTAAAAAAAAAAAAAAAAACAAGCTGTTCTTCCATGGGATCTATATGGCCAGCTGTTTTTGGCTTAAGAAAGCAAGAAACTCACCACAGTCAATTGACTGACAGGTGGTAATCACACTTATTTCAAAGGACCTCTTAGCCCTCTGTATTCTGTACCACATTCACTTAGCCTGTTTTATAGAGGTTTGATTTGGGTTGTCTTGATCTTAACCCCACCTTTGTAGATTGAGTAAATAAAATCCCAGAAGATCTAGAATGTAGGCATTTAAATATCCATGAATGAGTCATCTCCTAGTCAGGTGGATGATGGAATTAATGTGCAGCTGTGGACACAGATCTCATTCCTATTTTATAGATATTATCGCAATAAAAAGTGGGAGATACAGGTTCTATATTCAACCTGCCCGGAAGAGGTGAGTCCATGATGTATATGGATAAACACTTTCTCCTGAGAGCTGACCTTTTGGGCATGGAAACTGGTATTCCGGACACTCTGGAAACAAGCCTTGTGCACATTGTCTGATTTCATGCTTGTGACAGTTAGATTCCCTTGTTTTCATTGAATAAACTTGAGACCGTGTGAAGAGTCTTATCTGCAGTAACTCCAATAATAAGCAAGGTGACCACATAATTTATCATTGAAACCTGGACTCTTTAAGAGGTAACAGTGGTGCTATTAATGTTTAGGCTAAGATGATAATAAACATAAAAGGATGTAGGATCCCCTGCAAATCAGGTGCTGATTGGGGGTTCAATGCAGATCTCTGATTCTAAAGCCTGCCTGTTCTCCATCACAGGCTGTTGACTCAAGCCACCCATCTACAAATGAATTCATGTGGTGCATGTCAAATGCCCTTCTGAGGATGAGTCCTGTTCTAGGTGTTGAGCCAAAGAAAAACACCCCTAAGCTAGGTAAAAGGTTTTTGGCAAGAGAAAGATGTGCTAGAGGTCTTTCGTGTAGAAAGTGTTTTATCAAGAAGGCAGGTGATTTTTCTTTTCCTAAAATAAATGGTTTTTCATTTATTTTTTAAAAGAACAGATCTGCCTTAGCATTTACAAGAAAAACAAAGTAAGACTCCTAACATCTCATATCCAGGGCAAACATCTTCATAGCCAGTAGCTAAGACAGTGACATTTGGTTGTCCCTTGGTGTCCAGAAGTTATTTTTCCAGCACCCAAAACATAAAGTAGCATAGTGTCTACATCTCACCTATACACATCCTCTCCATGCTTGAAATCATCTCTAGATTACTCATAAAACCTAATACTATGTAAATATTATGTAAATAGTTGTTATATGGTATTATTTGGGGAATAAGAACAAGAAAAAAAGTCTACATGTGTTCAGTACAGAAATTTTTTTTTTTTCCAAAAAAATTTTTTTTTCTGAGTGGCTGAGACTTGAACCCAGGGCTTCATGAATGCTATGCACATGCTTTCCTGCTGAGCTATACCCCCAGCCCTTTTTTCAAATATTTTGTATTATGGATGATTGAATCCACAGATGTGGAACCCAAGGATTTGGATTGTAGTAAATTCTTCAGTACTAAGGCATGTACATACAAATTTACCACCCACTTTTAGCACTGTGTCCATGGCTGTTATTGTCAAGGCAAATTTGTGTGGTATAATCATTTCTAAGAGATGTAGTCTAAAAATCCCAGCCCTTCAATGTAACTGCATTCCCCGTCTTGCCCCACTCAGGCTTGTGATGAGCTTTGTGCTCCCGTGAGTGTCAGACATGTGCATGAGAACTCAACAGAGGCTCAGCCTTAAAGATACATGAAGTGCAAGGCTGTTATAAATGCCATTATAACCCAACCATGGAAAGTAATCAAGAGCTTTATGCAGCACACCAGGATTTATTTGTTCACAGTGTTAAGTTCACTGGCTGCCTTCTAAGCCTATGGAAGTGTCCAAGCAGAAGTTTCAGAGTAGAGCAGTTCTGTAAATACCACAGCCTGAAAAAATAAAAGTCCTGTTGGAATGCCACTTGTCATCAGTCTGCAGTGCCAAAGTGACAGGCCATGTAGAGGCCACTTCTGGGAAGCTAGAGCAAAGGGGTGGATGTGCGATATTTATGTACGTGGTTGGAACTTTAGGATACAGTTTTGAACTGAGAGCCATTACTTGCCCTTTGTTGTATATCTAGATTAATGTGGGATCTGCATGTGTGTGATATGCAGGAAGTCCTGGGTTCAAGCCTCAGCCATTTAGAAAAAACTTTTTGGGAAAAATAGAGTTTCTGTCCCAAACATGTGTAGACTTTTTTTCTTGTTCTTATTCCCCAAACAATACCATACAACAACTATTTAGGAATCTTGGAGTATCTAAAACATCTGAATCCCAGGGTAGCAAAATGTAACTTTCTGGTGATGAAGAAAAATCTCCCTCCCATTGGGAGTGATCAGGGAGTCCTGAAGGGGGACCGGAAGGCTCAGGGATTGCACCTGCCCCATGCTTCGTTTGAGCCATATCATGAAGAGCATACCCATATCTGGTTCACTTTGTGAAAGGGTAGACATTTCTTTGGAAGAATGAGAACCCCCAACCATAAGACAGGCAGAAAAACAAAACTAGGTTGGAGGAGAGCCATGAGAAAGGGAAGCAAGGGGAGAAAAGAGCGTGTGGGTGGTGAGCAGCAGCCATTAAAGAGGGAGACGGAAGATGTAAAATGGCTGGGCTGCTGGGGGTGACGTGAAGCTGCTTGGATTAGGCCACCACAAGACACCCACCAGGAAGTCAGGAGATTTGGAGGCTGGTCCCTATGACTAACTTTTTAGCTGGTGAGCCTCTGTCTCTTTCGCCAAAGTGGGTGGGCTGGGTCAGATGTTATCCTGTGTGACTTTAAGCTCTGAAAGTCTTTGGTGCCAAGCCAATGAACTATTCTTGAAGGGCTCTCCAAGACCTGGCTGGCTCCATAAACATTTACCAAGGGCTTATACACTGGCACAAAGGCGACTACAGCTCCAGAATCCCCATCCAGGGTGGGACCCGCCATAAATGCTTCCCATTGCTCCAACTACAGGAAGAATAACTAACTCTTAGAAAGCAGGCATGATGTACTAGACAGTTTTATGGATCCTTTCTGTCAATTTACATCTCTTAGCTCTCAATCTTACCAAAAAAATGAAAGTAGTAGTTAGGCCCTGCTGTTCTAATTTTACACATGAGGAAACTAAGGCATTTAGAGGTGAACTAACGTACCCCACGTTTCATAGCTAACCAGTGGTGAAGACAGGATTTCAACTCAGGGAGCCTGTATAGTTGCTAAGGAAGGCATGTGGTGGTTACACATTTCTTTCTGTCTACACTGCTGTATTGTTAGCTGAGGGCAGTGAGTTTGTCTGCCTTGTTAGCTATTTTATTCCTTTTCAAGAGCTGAGTTCAACAAAACCTTCAGGATGTTTTTGGTGAATAGATGAATATATGGGTAGGTGGGTGGGTGGATGAGTGGATGCATAGATGGAGAAGATAAACAGGGTCTTTAAAGAACTTACAGTCTAAAGAGGAACACAGACCCATAAGATGCTAGTGTCAGTGAGTTTCATGCAAGAAGGGTACTTAGTACTTAGTCTGATCCACGGCATCAGAGAAGGCTTCAACTGAGCATGAGATGGGTGCAGAATCTGGCAGACTCTGGTGGAAAGGCATTGCACCAGAGGGGGCTGTGTGGGCTGATTTTAGCACTGCCTTGAGCCGTCAGCATTCCCAGAGCACCTCATAGATGGGATACATTAGGGACAGCCTTCCCTGGGAAGGCATTTGGGCTTGATCCTGAGAACAGTGGAGGGTAGGCACCTGCAAAAATTTAAGGAGGAGTGTGGCTTGGGCAGATTTGGATTTTGGATGGTGTTCTGGCCACTGTATGCAAAACAGGGTACAGAATACGATGGGACAGGAAGGACGGGCTGATGTCTTGGTGAGAGATCATGGAAAACTCAAGTCAGGAGGGGAAAGGGTGGCAGGCAGGGAGGTGGTGAGAAGTGCAAGGGCAGGATGATTCTTAATTCAGGGAACACTTTATTCAAGGCACTCTCGGGGTGCTAATGTGTGCAAAGGTGTTCCCATGTAGGTGCAGAACCGAGGCCAGAAGTAAAGACCAGAATAAATTGGGGGGGGGGGGGTTGAGGCCTTGCCAGCATCAGGTAGCAGTGAAAGCTAGGGGAGTGGATGATATCACCTTAAAAAAGTGTTACCCTGGAAGAGCCAGTTCTTTGAAAAATTCTTGCACTTATAGGCTACATTGAAAAGAAGTTGGCCGCCAAAGTTGAAAAATGGCTGCTAAAGTAGCCATTCCTGAGCAAGCAGGGCCAAGGGTTTTATGAGACAGGTAATCCTGACCCTGGTGATAACATTTTTGAACCCTCACTGTATGCCTCACGCATTTTTTTGAGCATTTCGGGTACTCGGTATACTCATCTACTCTTCAAAAAGACCCAATGAGGGGGCTGGGGTTTTGGCTCAGTGGCAGAGAGCTTGCTTTGCACATGTGAGATACTGGGTTCCATCCTCAGCACCACATAAAAATAAACAAACAAAATAAAGATATTGTGTCCATCTATAATTTAAAAATTAAAAAAAAGACCCAATGTAAGTGGTGTTCTGATTCCCATTTTACAGATAAGAAAATTGAGAAGGCATGGAGACACTTCATCACCAGTTATCCATGGTCACATACATCATTTGACCAGAGGTACCGGGGAGATATGGGGAGATATGGTGGTGTTGTTTGGATATGAGGCGTTCCCCCAAAACTCTTGTGTTAATACAGGACTGTTCAGGGGTGAAATGATTAGATTATGAGGAGCTGTAACCTAATCAGTGGATTGATTCATTCAAAGAATGAGTAATTTGAATGGATTACTGGCTGCTAACTGTAGGCAGGTGGGGCGTGGCTGGAGGAAATGGGTCATTATGGGTGTAATTTGGGGATTGTATTTTATACCTGGATACTGGAACTCTCTGCTTCCTGGCTGTCATGTACTAAGCAGCTTTTTTTTTTTTTTTTTTTTTTTTAACCATGCCCTTCAGCCATGATGTTTTCATTTTGGGCTCAGAGCAATGGATTTGGCTGACCAGGGACTGAACCTCTGAAGCTGGGAGGTTGGAATGAACTTTTGCTCCTCTTTCTGGTCAGGTATTTTTGTCACAATGATGAAAAGCTGACTAACACATAAGGCCTTCGAGTTTTTATTGCTTTTGTCCATTTGGAAATCTTTGAGGACCTTCCCAAATTCTGCTGAATGAATCAGAGGCTGAGAAGGGAAGGAAGGTGTTGGACCTGTACTGACAAGAGGAAGAAGGTCAAAGGAAGTATGGGTTTGTTTTTTAAGGGGTCAGAGAATTGCTCATAGGCAAGACCAGTTCACAGGGAGATTTCCAAGGCATAGGCAGGAGGGGGCTGGGCATTTCCGGACAGTTGTGAGACTCGGACCAAAAACACTGAAGAGAGAGAGACTGGAGGAACAAAGCAGGAAGGGCAGAGCTGTTTCAGAATTGGAGAGGGCATTGCTGACTCCATTGATATAAAATGCCCAGGAAAGATAAATCCATACACAGGAAACAGATGAGTGTCATTCCTGGGCCTGGGGAGGAAGACTAGGTTCAGGGTTTCTGTTTAGGGCAATAGAAATGTTTGAAACTAAACAGAGGGGATGGTTGTACAACAAGGTGAATGTAGGACATGCTACTGAATTGTACACTTTCTTTTTAATTGGTATTGAGGATGGAACCAAGAGCCTCATGCATGCCAGGCACATGCTCTACCATTGAGCTGAACATCCACCCACCATCTGAATTATACATTTCTAAGTATGTTATTTGAATTTTAAAGCAAATATTTTTTTAAAAAATTGGAGAAAGCAGAGGTGAGCAGGGAGTGAGGTGGGCCCTACCTCTGCCCATGCTTGCTCCCTATTTTGTAAAGATGTGTATTCTCAGCATTGCCTAGTCCCTGGTACTTTCTTGCTTATGGAGAGGAAGCACTGTGAGATTTGGTCCTGTCTGGAATGCTGAGCATACAGTGTGTGCTCAGAGAATGTTTTAACACACAAGAGAATGGGGTAGGTAGGGCAATGAGAAAGGTCCATTAATTAGCAGGTGGGAGGAAGGAAGGTAGTGCATGTTCTAAAGCTTGGCTGAGGAGGAAGGGAAATGGAGTTGGCTGAGGACAAGAAAAGTCCTGAATTATTATGCTTAGAGACCTGGGGAAAACCAGGGCCTCAGTAACCTGGTCACATTGTTTATGTGGGTACTCTATATTCATTCATTTATTTTTATTTTATTTTTTTCTGATACTGTTGAGCTCCCTGAGTACAGAAGGGAACGTAGATTGTGAAGCAAAGCCATAATTTGTTGTTAAAAGGGGGGGATTTTGGTGGGGTGATCAGAGAGGTAAGATAAGGATGTGGAAAAGAAGGCACTGATAGTAGATGGTCCAGGGGGCTAAGAGAATCTGGAGGGGAGAGGCGTGGATGACGATAGAATGGAAAGGAATGATTCCAGGACTCTCATGGATGACGATAAAATGGAAAGGAATGATTCCAGGACTCTTATGGTGAAGAGCAGGTCACTGACATTGGCAGTGGAGGTGGCTCTGGTGGAGGGAAGTCATTGGGCCTAAGACCTGCATTGTTGCATGTCCAGGGCAGTGAGTTCTAACATTTAGTGCTCGGGGGAGAAGAAAACTTGCATTTTTTTTCCCCCCTAAAAATTAAAATCTTAAATTTTACTTAGTTATATGTTGGCAGTATATATATATATTAAAATAAATATATATTTTATAAATATATATTTTATAAATATATAATATATTTTATAAAATAATAATATATAATATAATAATATATATAATATATTTTATAAATATATTTTATAAATATATATTTTAAAATAAATATATATATATATATATTTATTTTAAAATGTGTTAGGGTAATACTTTTTGGGGCTGAAGGGATAAATGATCAAAATGATTTTGAAGGAGGTTTGGGAGGTTGGGAGGGCCTTTGATGTCCTTGGGCCCATGAGAGTGATGTCACACAGGCGACCATGTCCAATGGCTTGTTGAAACAGAGGCCATGAGTCTGTACCACTTCTAGGTTGACCAGGCTAAGCATCCCTTTCAGAAAGGACCTGTGTTTACCCTGGCATGCCTGGCTGTTTACCAATTATTCTTTGTAGGACCATCTTTTCAAATGTTCACAAATGATTTGCTAAATATTCCTGTTTAGAAATTGAATACTCAGGATGTATAATTTCTGGAATCCACCTCAACCTCCCTATTTTTATTTTTATTTTTAAATCAATCAGTTTGCTTTTTTCTCCCTCTTCTTCTCCCTTCCTGGATACATGTTGATATTTCCCCTTACCCTCCAGGAGATAATGACCTAGGAAAGTTCTCCCCCACCACTCCCACCCTTAAGAATCTGAGATTCAATTTTCCCGAGTCTTAAAATTTGAAGTGAAAATAACTAACAAGGTCTGAGTGGAGTGAGGGGCAGGAGAAGGAGCCTCAAGAGAAGGACAACCCTTTCCAATTCTCATTGCTGTTACTGACCATGTTTCTTCTGGGAAAGTTGCTTAATTGCTCTGACTTTCAGTTTCATTTATAAATTGGAGAGGGGTGATTACTGATCTGATAAGGTTGTGGAAAAAAAATAAAGGAGTGAGTTATGCTTGTGAAAGTCCCTTAAACTTACTAGGACTTAATAATGCCAGTTCTTTCTTGTTCATGACATACCATGCCTCCATTTGTTTTTATGCTCTAGCCTCTTCTACATTTCCACCCTGGTGGGAAAGGTGGTTTGAGAACATAAGGCAAGTGCTGTGACTTTCTGTAGGATTGTCTTCAACATGTCCATGTTATTGGTGAGTCTGGTCTTTTCCATGTGATCTTTCTTTCCTGGTTTCCTTTTTCAACTCTTTATCTGGCATTACGGAGGGTTTGGGGCATTCTTAGTTATGTTTATAGTTTTGGTTAATGTTGAAACAACTCTTTAATGATAAGTCTCCCCCTCCCCATTAAATGGTTAAATGAAGAACTGATTTCATAGTGGGCATAAAGTAAAACTAATGTCACTCCACTCCATCCTGCCCCTCTTCTTTTATCATGATGAAGGGAATGAGTTCTGAGAACTTTTAGAATTAAAGTGTTTGAATAGGATCATTTCAAAAGTATCTTAGTGGAGATGAATGAGAACCTTCCTGTTGTCTTTGATGGACATGAGACATTGGGAACCTCCCTAACTTGTTCAAGACATTACATGGGCCAGTGCCTCCTGGTCTGTTGGGTACTGGGGTCTGCAGTTGAGCTTCTTTGGCCTCTGCAGAGTGGTGACTGCTGTTTTGACTGCCATATGCCTGCATTCTGGGTCTGACAATGCCATTCTCTCTTGCATTTTTATCGGAACATTGAATTACTCATGAGTGGAAGAAATTTGAGAAGTCATTCTGCAGTTAGGAAAGTTTGGTTATGAAGAAAGATTGACTTTTGAGCCACTTAATTCTGTCTGTTTCTAGGAAAAGTGAAGTGATGTCTCCTTCCTACCCCAGGACAATATTTTATTATTTACTTACTAAAAATAAGTACCTTTTAATTTATAGCTGGAATTTCAATCACGAATTTTAATGTAGCTTGGGTTCTCTCTTTCATATACACACTGTTTTTCTCAGAAAATGATTTTGTAACATCAACTGTTTTGAAATTCTTAATCATTTTATTTCTTCATTAGTAAGATGAGATGATGGATGTGAGCATTAGAATAATTTAAGAAAAGAGCCCAGTGCCGTACCCAAAGTATAACAGCCATTCAGTACATGGTTAATGCTATTTTAAATTCAGATTAAATGGGGGAAAAAACATTCAGAATCTATTCAGGCAGCATAGCACTGTATGAAAAGGAGCCTATTGATTAAACACTTAGAAAGTTTCAAAAACCCCCCTTTTAAATCCCAAGATATTGGCACTCGTGTGATGGATGTCTCCATGCAGATAAAACAGTTGAGTCTTTTTAGTGGAAGAAACAGGAATCTTTTCACATGACATGGCACTTGAAAAATATTGCTGTAATTAAAACATACAGTGTAGTTAATTTTCAGGAAATGTACATTTTTCATGTCTTGAAGAAACTTTACAGAGTTATTTAAGAGAAAAAAGAGGGATAGTCTACTGGAAATTAGCACTTGATGAGGTTGATATTATTGGCTTTTTTCCTCCCTTCTATTGAAGGTGGTCAAATCAATGCAAGGGTGAGCAAGTCCTATAAGTTCGTTTTCACCTCTCCTCTTCCCCTCCTCTGTACGGAAAAGACTGTGAACTTAGGTGGTGAGAAGTAATTCCCCCCCCCCCTTTTTTTTAATGCATCAAGTTCTAATTAAAATTTGGCCTTTTCTTCAGTTATGGGTATAGACATAAACTAAAGTAGAGCAATTATACCTTGGAATCTGAGGAGAATTGGTTCCAGGACCCCTGTAGATGCCAAAATCTGCAGCCACTCAAATCCCTTATATAAAATAGTACCTCCTAGACACATCCTCCCATGTACTTTAAATCATCTCTAGATGACGTATAAGCACTAATGCAATGTAAATAATTGTTATACGGTATTGTTTAAGGAATAATGGCAAGAAAAAATTAGTACAAAAATAATATCCTGAGGGGGATATTTTCAGTCTGTGCTTGGTTGAATCTGA